AGGGAGGGGAGGAGACTGGGTTAGGGTTGGACATGGCAAATGGGGAATGAAACTAAATGTATGCATGACTTTGAATGTAAAACAAGCTCTTAAAATAAATAAATAAATAAAGTCCTATTTTAAAGTGTAAAAATAACAAATTAAGGAATTGAGATGATGACATCTTACTTCGGAAAAAAAATGCCAATATGTTCTATCTTTTATACCTCTGATTTTCTGTTATTTGTGATATTTGTTCACATACAATGTAGTTTGAGGTAATGCTGGAAATAAGAATAATGGAAGAAATAAATTCCATTATTCCATCTGAACAGGTCAAAGGTTTATGTCAAAAGTAACTCACTGTTGTTGAGTCTGATCCAACTCATAGTGACCCCTCCTTGGGTTTCCGAGGCATTATCACTATGGAAGTAGATTGCCCAACCTTCCTTCCGAGGAGTGGCTGGTGGGTTTGAACCAAGTACTGACTGGAAATTTGGATTTAGTTGTTATTACAGGAGCTAAATACTGAATCTTGAGTTGTCTTCCTGACTAAATTACTGTGGCAGAAGAGGCCAAGCATTTTTACTCCTTATTTCTAACTCCATATAAAGATCGTTTCCTATTGGAGCTGAAGTAATATAATCTTTATTTATTACTTTCTGATGGTGCAAAGAGGATATTATGTGGAAAATCTACAGGGATGAAGAGTTAACATGAATTTTAGTTTCTCTGTCAATTATTAAATACCTCAAAGGAGCTTTTAAAAAGTGTTGGAATAAAACAATTCTCTGGTAAGAGAATAAAGATCCATTTTATTGATTAAAAGAGTTATGTTGGATGCAGTGTGTGGAAAAGGTAGAGTTGACATTCTTCTCCTGAAAGTGTACTTCCTTCCTTTCATACTTGCTGGGACAGAAGGCAATCCCGTTTCTATTATATAAGCCTGCAAACCTCTCCATTAGTGAATATTTAAGTCTGTGTTTTCAAGCACAAGTTGATTTCACATCCTCATCCTCTTCATATTGTGAGTGTGGGACTTATGTGGACCAATGAAATTATAAGTGGAAGTAGCATCACTTTTTGGTGGAAACATTTACTTTTTGATACGAGAAGCCTCAGTGTTCTTTCCCGTGCTACCCAGACTGGCAGTCAGAATGGTACCCACCATCCTGGTGTGAGGATGATGAGTAACTCTATGAATTGGAAATACATTTTTGTTCTTCTATCAGACCACTGAGATATGGAGAGATGGTTATATTATGCAGACATTTCAGGTAGCTATCATCTTAAGAGAACATTGTCTTAGTTCACTAAGTACTGTGGTACCAAGTTATATCACAAATTGCTGTACACTATGATCTAAAAAGGAGGTCTGGTAGCATAGTGCCTAAGACACTTGACTGCTAACCAGAAGATTGGCGCTTCAAACTCACCAGCCACTCCTCGGAAGGAAGGTTGGGCAATCTACTTCCATAGTAATATCGCCTTGGAAACCCAAGGAGGGGTCGCTATGAGTTGGGATTGACTCAATGGCACATAACAACAACAACGTGATCTAAAAAATAGAATTTTCTCTTAAAAAATGTCCATAACCAGCATTACAAATTTTTTGTCTCAACTCTAAACAGCATTGTTATAGTTCCTGAAGGAATGTTTTCTTAAAAGAATTTTTTTTTTTACAGATGGTTCAGCCATGGTAATTAGCTTAAATATCCATCTCAAAGTTGAATATTTGACTTGTTGAATAAATTATTTAGAATTATTTATAAATTACAGAACATGTACTAAATAAGATTTCAATTCTAATTATAATAGTTAGCAATTATCAATTGCCTTTGTGTGGTAGTTTTGTACTTAGCCCTTTAATCCTTACTACAACCACAGTAGATAGATATTCAAATTTATATCATAGCTAGAGAATCTCTTGGGTGTCTTACCTCATCTTTCTCCAGCAGGGTGGCTGGTAGGTTTGAACTGCTACCTTTTGGTTAGCAGCCAAATGCTTTAACCATTGAGCTACCAGAGAGCTTCATGTGAGTGAATATAGTATAAATCTGTTCCTGTTTCCAGATAACAACATCACATCATTACCATGGAAAAGAAAAGCACCTATAGTGGCTTAGTGCCTAAGGCATTTGATTGCTTATCAGGTTGGTAGTTCAAACCCACCAACCACTTCATGGAAGGAAGACTGGGCAGTCTCCTTCGATAAAGATTTACTGCTTCGGAAACCCAAAGGAGTCACTATGAGTCGAAATTGACTTGATGGCAGTGATGGTTTCTTTTTTTCTTGGTTTTACCATAGAAAAGGATCCTGCTTGTCTTCTTTGCATTAGCTAGAAATGATGTATCACCTTCATTTAATTGTTAAACATGTTTTGAAATATAAAATCAAATTTCCAAAATCTATACCATGTCATATTGTGATGTAATCCACTCAAGAATTATCTTTGACCTATCTTATTGTAGCAAGTTTAATGATTTATGCTTTGTCGTTTAATTCATAGCTGATTTTTGTCTGTGGTATTCAGAGAGCCTTTAGATGTTGCATTTTGAAAGAGTCTTAAGATAGTTATAACTATTTTATGAATGAGATACATTGTAGAAAAGCAATGGTAAGTAGTTGAATACTGATTTTAAAATGGAGAGAAACTCACTGCCATTGAGGCTTGAGTCGGTTCCAAATCATAGTGACCCCTCCTTGGGTCTCCAAGGTGGTATCTCTACAAAAATAGATTGCCTAGTCTTCCTTCTGTGGAGTGCCTGGTGGGTTTGAACTGCTTGCCTTCTGATTCGCAGTCAAATGCCTTAGGCACTATGCTACCAGAGACTCCCAAAATGGACAGAGTCACTTCTAAAGTTTAATGAAGAAGAAAATGATAGAACCATACTAGATAATTTATTTCAGATTAACTAAAATCTTCTATAGAATTTTGAGGAAATGGTCTAAATTTTGTTTGTTCCTTTATTTACTTACTTATGTAAATATGAGTTAGGTTCTCTGTATTTTGAATTGATGATGGAGGTTTTGGGGAAGTCTCTAGGCCCATCATTAAAGATAGATAGCCATTCTTGATCAAGAGAAGGCTCAGAATTTTTTAAGAATCATGTTTATGGATTTTCTTGAGTGGGTGTTAGAGTTGTAAAGAGAGAAACTCTGGAATCTACAAATTATTGCAAAGGTTTAAATATTTGTATGTTCTCTTGCAGAAAACGTTTGACCAGTCCATTTCATGTCACTAACTAGGATATTGATCTTTATGTGTTTCATTTCATTTTTGACAATTTCCAATTTCCCTAAATTCATAGTTTATACATTCCATGTGCTAATTATTAATGGATGTTTGCAGTTGTTGCTTCCCATTTTGAGTTGTCCTCCATGAGCAAATGGAGGTCCTGAAAGCTTTACACCATCTGTGTCATTAAGGTCAACTCTACTTTGAGAAGGCACCTCTTTCCCAGTTGTATTTTTGAGTGTCTTCTTACCTGAGGAGCTCATCTTCTGACACCACAATGGACAGTGTTTCAGGACTATTCATGAACTTTTCCAGTAATGTATCAGACAGTGTTTCACTGCTGTCTTTAGATTTTCACTGGCCAATTCTTTGAGAAGTGGATAGCCCCTTCCTTCTTCTGAGTCTGTCTTAGTCTGGAAGCTCTGATGAAACCTGATTATCAT